TTCCTGTGCGTTCCTGCCCAAAAATAGCCCTGCGGGTAACTTTAATAATCCCTTCAACCACACCATGCAATAAAACAGTTCTTTTATTTTCTTTTTGGCTTCTATAAGACCAACAAAGTTCTCTCCAAGGCACAAGCCCCCGTGTGCGCGCACACCTCCCCAGACACAATGAAATGGAAACCACGAGTCCACGCACACAGGCAGTTCTTTCCTCTTTCTCTTCTGCCCCTGTCCTCGAGTCTTCAAAAAGATGTAAACACCATCAGCAGCAAAAATGACAAGGGCCGAGAGATCATTAGCAAATTATGAAGTGTTTACATGAAATCGATAGGAAAGCAATTATGAGATAAATACTTAAGGAGCTCAGATCCTAATCAGGTTTTAGTGGCTTTCTGGCAAAAATAGAAGCCTTAATGACAACCATGCCCCCCTTCACCTTCACAGGTGAGGCTGAGAATAGCTCTTGTGTCAGATGCACCGATGCCAGTGGATACAGCAGCCGAGTGTCTCCTGCTGCCCCAGTGAGAAGCAGTGTGTCATGGCCTCATGAGACACCTGCTTGTGGTTTCTTCTTCTATTATTATTATTATTATTATTATTATTATTATTTGGGTTTTTACCCCGCCCACCCCCGAAGGGCTCTGGGCGGCTTACAGAGTATCGTGTGTGCACACACTTTCTAGAATCCTAACTATGGCCACAAATTCAGGGGGATGGGAACCCTACCAGATACCCTCTGAAGGCTTTTCCCGCAGATGTTCTTGCTTCTCCTTCCGTCTTTTTTCCCGGGCGGTCACATGCCTCTTCGCGCAGTTCTTTCTTAGAAGGGGGACTTCAGTTAGCTGGCTTCCACAGTGGCCCCTGCTGGCTCGTCGGGCTTGCTGCACGCAGGCGATGGGGATTACGTCCTTCCGGTTCCAATCTCTCCAATGACGCCGCGCCGCTGCTGACCTCCGACCAGTCGTTGTTCCGGGGGGCCGTCCCTTCGCCGCTGCTTCTGCCGCTGTTTCGCCGCCATTGTTGTCACCGGTGTCGCTATTTTCTCTCTGGAGTCACAGTTCTTCCGCTTCTTCTAGGGGAGGGTACCCCCCTGACCGACTAAGGCCAGGTACCCATTTATCTACTCGCCATATAGGGCTTTCGAACAGCTGAGTTGGCTGCTGCTTGCACAGGCGAGAAAACTCAGAGAGCGATCACATCCCATCACACATGTCATGTAACTCATGAGAAAGGAGGCGATGCCAAAGGGCTGCTGGTTTTCATGGCAGCCGTGTGTCTGGTGTAACGTCCAGTCCAAGCCTCAGTCCAGCACTAATAACATGCTAAGGTAAGCATTCCCAGTCCAAGCAGGCTTTCTCCGAAATACTTAGAGGAAAACCAATGTGGCACAGCCAATTAAGCTTCAGCAAACAGCAAGCAAAGATATGCTGACCCCCCGGCCAAGACATCTGCGAACCCTTTTCCCATCCCCACATAAGACTGAGTTCTGAAAAGCACAGAAAGCGAAATGAAACAGGTTCTCGTTTTCTCTCTGTGGGACACTTCATTTCCACCATTACTTCTTTTTCTCCAGTAGGAGTTTATATATCCAGAGAGGGCGGGAATTGGACCCTGCCCTGTCTCAGTGAAAAAGAGACTGCAAGCTCACCTCTGCTTTGACCCTGGTGCCACCACAGGTCTCCTTTGATGCGCCCCCCCGCACGGAAAGCACCAATCGCTGGCTTGGGCGACAGTTTTGCTATCCATCCAATCTGACCTGTTAGCACAAACATTTCTCTGAGGGCTGTGCTCACTGACACCAGGTCTCATCTCCATTACTGAGGAGGGTCTCCTTAGTAACTGCCAGCAGCCTTCTCCAAAGATGCAGGCTTCCTTCCCACGGGATTATTTGATTTCTTGGCTTGTTACACAGATAGTGGAGAATTGCAAATGAACAAAAGGCTCATCGTGAAGACAGAAAGTTTGTCCATGTCTTTTTCCTTTTCTCTACCCTTCCTCAAAAGGAGGGATATTTTTAAAATTTCTCATGCCTGCTGATTGTTTCAGAATGTCTCCACGTTGGTTTGTGGTAGAAGAGCTAGTTTTGAGCCCCGCAGCACCTTAGAGACCAACAAGTTTTGGGGGGTATAAACTTTCAAGAGTCAAACTCGTTTTGTCAGATCTGATGATGGGAGCTTTGGAGCTTATATTCTCAAAACCTTGGTGGTCTCTAAGGAGCTACTGGGTTCGAACTGAGTTGATCCCTGCTGTTTCCAATTGGACCGCCCCCTTGATTCTGCTTCTCCCCCGTGCAAGGGATTTTGCTTCTCGCTCTGATTCTTCATTTCCATGCCATTTTCTGTTTCCTTGCAACCAAATTCCCTCCATAAAACTTATGCATTTTTCAACATTATTGTTGCCACAATAAATCAACATGATACATGTGTAAGATAAATATTGTATAAATTGCACAGGAAGACTGTACAATGAGTCTAACAAATCTACAAAACCAGCAGTGAGAAGCAGGGAAACGAAACCACTGACAAAAAAAGATAACTGAATACCCCCCCCAAAAAAAAAATATCAAGCATTCACTTTTCCTTAGGTCCAAGAAGCTGAGGATCATAGAATCATAGAATGTTAGAGTTGGAAGGGACCTTGCAGGACATCTAGTCCAACCCCCTGCACTCTGCAGGAGCATAGCTGAAAGATAGCCCTACATATCTACAACATACCCGAAAGATGGTCGTCCAGCCTCCGCTTGAAAATGTCCAGCAAAGGAGCATCCACCACTTCCCAAGGCAGACTGTTCCACTGCTCAACCACTCTTACAGTAAGGAAGTTTCTCCTGATATTTAGCCGGTAACGACTCGCTTGTAATTTCCACCCATTAGATACAATCTTGCAATCCGGAGCAAGAGAGTATAGATCTGCTCCATCTTCTAAATGACAGCCTTTCAAATACTTGAAGACTGCAATCATGTCCCCTCTAAGCCTTCTCTTTCCCAGGCTAAACATACCCAACTCTTTCAGCCTTTCCTCATAAGACTTGGATTCCAACCCTCTCACCATCCTGGTTGCCCTCTTCTGGACACGCTCGAGCTTGTCAACATCCTTCCTAAAACGTGGTGCCCAAAACTGGACACAGTACTCCAGGTGAGGCCTGACCATAGCAGAATAGAGCGGAACTACCACCTCCCTTGATCTGGACACAATGCTTCTGTTAATGCATCCTAAGATTGCATTAGCTTTCTTCACAGCCACATCGCACTGCAGGCTCATGTTTAGCTCGTGATCAACCAGAACACCTAGATCCCTTTCACATGTGCTGCTGTCAAGACAAGTCCCTCCCATTCTATATCTGTGCCTTTGATTTTTTTTTGTACCTAAGTGTAAGACTTTGTACTTATCTCTATTGAAATTCATTTTATTTGTCTCAGCCCACTGTTCCAGCCTTAGATCATTTTGAATCCTGAGTCTGTCTTCTTCAGTATTAGCAATCTCACCCAGCTTCATGTCATCTGCAAATTTGATAAGTATCCCCTCTATGTCTTCCTCCAGGTCATTTATAAAAACATTGAACAACACCGGGCCAAGGACCGAGCCCTGTGTCACTCCACTCGAGACTTCCCTCCACGTAGATGCGGAGCCATTTACTAACACTCGTTGCATACGATTTTTCAACCAACCATGAATCCATCCAACGGTTGCACTATCCAGCCCACACTTAACCAGCTTATCCTCAAGGATATCATGAGGAACCTGGCAGGGCAGAGATTCAGACTTGGGTTTCCCAGATCCAATATGCTCTAACCATAATCTTAGCCAGGCAGAGCTCTTTTTGTAGCAGGAACTCCTTTGCATATTAGGCAACACACCCCTAATGTAGCCAATCCTTCAAGAGCTTACAGTAGCCCCTGTAAGATGAGCTCTGTAAGCTCTTGGAAGATTGGCTACATTAGGGGTGCGTTGCCTAATATGCAAAGGAGTTCCTGCTACAAAAAGAGCCCCGATCTTAGGGCATCCTTTACTTTATCGTGATTTCATTCTGTGCCCTCGGCAATGTTGCCTGGTCGTTATTCTCAAATTCCAATTAGTCAAAGAGTTTGTATTTGTGGGTCTCACACATTAGAGGATTTACCTCATTATATCCTCTTCTGCCCTTTATATTCTGGCCCTAAGTCTAAGTTTTTGGCAGGAATTTTATCCGGCTTAACCATATATACAGATGCTGAGAAAATCATATTTTTGATTT